TGAAGATCTTCGAAAAGCTATCAAAATACAAGGACCTTGAAATGGAAATCTCAAAAATGTGGCACATGAGAACATCAACAATCCCTGTTGTAGTTGGAGCCCTCGGATTATTTGGAAAAGATTTCAGTAGATTAATTGAAGGGATTCCTGGAAGCCCATGCCTTAAAGAAACAAAAAGTACAGCCCACACCTTACGAAGGGCTTTATCTATGTAAAATATGTTTTATTTTGTTTTTTTGTGTGTGTGTCAGTGGAAAATGTCATAATGCCATTTCTAACCTTAGGTCACTGGGCGGGACCTGGAAAGAAATGTATACACACCAGAAATTAAAGGAAATAATAATAATAATAATAATAATAATAATGATGATGATAATGATGATAATACTACTACTACTACTACTTCCAATAATAATAATAATAAAGATGATGACGATGATGATAATACTACTACTACTACTACTACTAATACTACTACTACTAATAATAATAATGGGAGAAGCTAAGTAAGAATATGCTTTAAATTCATAATTCGTGACCGTTTGGAAATTATTTGAAATTTTTCTTTGTAATAATATTCTTTATCATGTCGTATGAGCGTTTTTCTTTTTGGATTCCATAGAAGGATCAATAAAAAAATATATAATAGTAAACTGCAGTGCTGGTTCGATAATAATATGAAACAATTTTTAAAAATGATTAATTCTTGCGTTTCTGTAGAAAGGACAGTTAAAAATAGTGAGCCAATTCAAATATCTTAGCACAGTTCTTAGTGAAGAGGTCTTCAGAACAGAAATAGTTTCAAGAGCAACAAAAACAATGGCACCTATCGATGAACCCAAGAACCATCTGAAAAAAAAAAACACAGAACATCTGATTGGAATGAAAGACCTGACTGTTACGTGAATCGACATTCTCAATCTTTCTGTATGCATGCGAAACTGGGACATTAACAGTCGAATTACAGCGAAGAATCCACACATTAGGAATGAGATGAAACAGTAGGAAACACCATCAGACAAGACCTATTGACCATCGTAAAGAAGAGGGAGTTCAAACGGTATGAATGAACGGTATGAAAAGAGCTGACAGTCTTTCCATTGCCATCATAAAAAAAACCCCCAAAAACAATGTTTAAAAAAAATGAGCTGACAACGTCACTGTGTCACCTGAAAGATGTTAAACAGAGATTCAAACATTTGCACACAGGTGAGACTGGTTAGGGACTTAGCGACTCGCCGAAAACACCCTCCAAAGATGATGAGAAGGATTGCTTCAGAAATGGTTGTATTAATTCTTGACCATTGACTGCCGCTTCTGTCGTCATTTTCACAACACAGATTGTATATTATAAAAAAATGTTAGGTAAAAATTTGTAAAATGTAGTATTTCATCATTGTAAATGTTTTCTTTCACCTGCCGTTAGATATGTTTAGATTGTTTGTGTTGATAATGGCTACCATAATAGCCTGGGAGTGGCGTAATGTCAGTAGATAGCAATCATCAAATTCAAAATCTTGCTCACGCATACCAGGTTCAAGTGCAGCTGGAGATCAGATGCAGTTATTGTTTCGTTATTACTTGTTTACTGTCAAAATTTACAGCGGCACTACATATGTTTGCATTCGAATGAAAGAAAGAAAGTCATTGTATTTTAAAAAAAAAAAATCCTACCCATGATATCATGTTACAGAAACAGATGTTATCTATCTAACAAAAGAACTAAACATACGAACATTTGTACGCGGACACACACACACATACACACACAGAGAATGTAACCCTTTCATTCTTTCTGTCTGTTTTTCTCTCTCTCTCTCTTTCTTTGAGTGTGTTTGAGTACATGTATTTCTATATAGGCAAGTGGATACAAATATGCACTTATATATATTTGCCGTATGTGGTCAGCTTAGCGGTTATCGGGGCAGAAATGTGAACCGGCGATCTGAGTTCAATTTCTGCCTGAGTATTTTACCTTAACGTTTGCACTAATGCCCCTGTGAAAAGGTATGGATCCATCTGTTCTCGCTCTATCCATCGATTAAGTAGCAAGGTAGACTGGGTTCTCTAGCTTTGAGTGGTAGCCAGTCTATAAGGAGGTCTACTCTGAATTTCAAACTAGTGAAGTTAACGGAAAACCACTCCACGATCTTTTACAAGAATTCCTAACAATTCCCAGGTAATAAAGCAAAGCATGCTGTGGAGAATCATGATCGCCTATGTTCTCCAGGGACATATATATATATATATATGTATGCATACATACAGGTTCCTTTCTCTCACTATCTATCTATCTATCTATCTATCTATATAATTGATGGACTCTACTGTCGAGTTCGACGTATGAGGTTCCGACGACAACGAATTATTATATGCAAGCCTATGACGGGCATGACTTATAAGTCCGTCTCGAGCATTGCACAAAAGACCAAAAACACTACAGGAGAATATATTGTATCCAAGTGCAACAGGAACACTGTTAGATGTCTTATTTTGCTTTCTCGTTTCATGTAGTCGACTGATGCTTACTTCTCAGTGCAGCTATATCAATGGTGTACTTGTATAGCTCCAATTTCACCAGAGCTGTTTTTCTTTCTGGTGCTGAGTTGTTGTCCTGGAGAGTTCGTACATTCCAAGTGCTAAGATGAAGATGTTTCGTAGAGTTTTTCGCATTAGCCGGATATGTGTAGAACTACTTAGATGTATTTTTAATATATATATGTATTTTTTAATATATATATATATATATATATATATATACTAGCAGTATAACCCGTCTTCGACCGGGTCTTTTCTTACTGGGAATTATTGCAGGTCAGTTGCAGCAGTTTAAGTTTAAAATCAGGCCAACCGAAAGTCAATATTAGTAACAACAATTAGGTGCAACTGAGGCACATCCCCAAATGGGGGGGGGGGTAACAATTTGAATGTGGGTGGCCCTGAAAAGAGCACTGTACAATAATAAATAATATTATTGTAATAATTTAAACTATTTATTGCATTAAAGTTTTTATGAAAGATATATATCCAAGAACAGATAGTAAATAGTAAAACGCTGCTGAGAGTTATAATGGACAGGAAGTAGTGGAGAGCCATTGTCGACAACAATTTGGACTCAAAACCGGCACTGAAGAATTATCTATCAAACAAATAAAATCATCGAAAACGGATGAAGACTGTGGAAATGCATAAACAACATCTGATCACACACACACACACACACACACACACACACACACACATACATACACACACATTTTGAGAATTATAGATATAGATATGGTGTTTCAATAACTTGGACCTTGAATGTGAATTAAGTTTAAGCGTCTAATGATTTTTTTTTCTTTTTCTTTCAGATCTAACAACTTAGTCTTTGGCAATTTCAACCATGGAAAGATTAACAATCAAACAACGTGATAAAGTTATTGAGTTAAAAAAACGACTGATAATTATGCACCAATCCAATATAATCATGATGGCTTCCCGTGGCGTAGCTTTTTTTTTTTTTGTTTTTTAAGCGTTTCACCCCAAGCAAGGCGGGAAGCCACTAGGACGCAAGGGGTTACAGAAAATTTGGAGCAAGATCAGATAGGAGCGATAGAAGAAAGGATGAGGAGAAGGGTAGTGGATAGATCAAGGCAACTGGAGATGTTGATTGACATTACATTTGAATAGTTGGAGATTATAGCTCTCAGGGAAACTGGAATAGGGAAAGGAGTTCCACAGGCGAGAGGTGCGAGACATAAAGCTATTGGAGTAGAAGAGACGGCTAGATTTAGGAGTTTCGACAGTGAAGGGGTGAGAGCGGGATGCCAGCCTCGTAGGGCGCTTGAACTCATAAAGTCTGGGAACTAGCGAATGCAGCTCCTAGGAGCAATTGCTATGAAAGTATTTGTAAAACACAGAGAGGCGACAGCTCGTCTGTGAAAAGTGACTGTAGACGAGATGCCAGATCAGGGCCAATTATATTGCATATCCGCCTCTGGAGCCTATCAAGAACCCCGAGGCAAACAGAAGGGGCACCAGACTATATGTGGCAGCAATACTCCATGCAAGGGCGAATTGTTGATTTGTAGATCTGGAGGATCGATTCCGGGGAGAAAAATTTCCTGGTGCGGCACAAGGAGCCAACTTTCCTTGCGGTGGACGAAGCAATTGACTCAATGTATTTGTTCCATCTCAGGTCAGCCGTCAACGTGAGGCCGAGCAGCCGCAGAGAGATGCTCTCGAGAAGTTGAGCGTCAGACATTCTAATGGAAGGCTGTTAAGAAATACAGTTTCGATTTCTGTCGGGAAGCATATTTTTCTTTATTTGAACTTATCAATCTTTTGACATTAATTTCCATATTGAAAATAACAAAAGTCACAATTGTAGTGTACCTAATAAAAATAAAGTTTATAGTCGTAATAAATATATATATATGTGCGTGTATGCTGGTAGGTTGCTATAATGAATAATCACAATATTTTAAAAATCTTCATATAGCCTAAACATTTATAGCGCAATCTGAAACAAATAAAAATGCATGCGTCAGAATATTATTAATTTAAAATTCTTCTAACCATTTCACAAGCAAAGTATGCATAATGATTGTCCTCTTGAATGTATTTTGACTGGAATGTTGTGACTTTTGCTCTGACCTGGACTGTCATAGTTAACCTTTGCCGAAGGAGGACGGGTGATGTCGTGCGCAGGTGTCCGGGGGAACGTAAACGGTTTTTAAACATATAGAATAGCGAAAGTGTTATTGTTTTAGTTGTTTTACATAGAAATGTTTCGGTTTGATGCTTGTGGGAAGCATGGGAGATAAATGTTTTAGGGCATCGACATATGAGAACAAGAAAATATATTTGAATGAGCAACAAATGGAAGAAAAAAAATAAAACGAATGATCCTTCATCGTCTGTTCCTATCTCAGTTTGTTCCACTCTATATATCTGTCTCAGAATGTTAGCATTTATGTTGGTTTGTATTTGTTCCATTCATAGTGCGTGTTTAGCTACTTACTTATCAAAGACACGTACAGTCCCTTTGAATCTGTATTAATTTTTTCATTATCTATCTATCTATCTATCTATCTATCTATCTATCTATCTATCTATCTATCAGTATGTTCATATCTATCTCAGTCTATTCATATCTATCTGTTTCAGTCTGTTCATATCTATGTATCTATCTATTTCAATCGATTCATATCTATTTCAGTCTGTTCATATCTATCTATCTATCTATCTATCTATCTATCTATCTATCTATCTATCTATCTATCTATCTATCTGAGACTGTTTATATCTATCTCAGTCTATTCATATCTATCTATCTATCTATCTATCTATCTATCTATCTATCTATCTATTTCAGTCTATTCATATCTATTTCAGTCTGTTCATTATCTATCTATCTATCTATCTATCTATCTATCTATCTATCTATCAGTCTTTTCTTATACTTCGTGCATTTATATCTGTCATTAAATCAAAATCAGTTCATTCCTAACTATCGATCCAAATCTGTTTATTTAATCATATATATTATCGAAAGAATTTATGGATTTTATTTTAAAATAGTTTCATTTATTAATATATCTATTATTTTGTCATTATCTATTTGTCTATCTATTCCGTCATCATTTCTTATAACAGGAGTTTGAGGAGACGCATCTCCCACCCCTACATTTTTAAAACATTTACTTGTCTGTGCATTCTTAAATTATAGAGTACCGGGTGGTGCATTTACTGTATTATGATTCTCTAAAGCCGGTAGATGTAATTCGCATTAAATATATATATATATATATATATATATATATATATATATATATATATAAGCAATTAAAATTTTTTAATTCGACATTATTTCGTATTACAAAAAATGTTATATTTCATGAGGTCACGTGTTTGACTATGCATCATCAATATTTAGCAATATAATTAACATCTACCAACTGAAATGTTAAACATATGTCTCCGGACTAAAATCGAACTTGTATTCAGTATTTAATCTGGGAAACATCTTTTAAGCTACTAGAAGCCATTATTGCAAAACAATGACCTTACTTATCAAATACATATCACTCGTTCAGAACTTTCGAAGCTTGTGATTGCTAAAACGCAAATAAAGTAATTTTTAAGCAATTAATGGGTTTTTCAAAATTCGACATTATTTTTTATTAGTCTAATTATTTTTTTTATTATAAACGTTACATTTAATCGGTACACGGGTTTCAGTAGATATCCCTGTTTTTAAACAGTGAAATTAGTGTCTACTAGACTAGAAAGTGAAAATCTTTTAGTGTTCATATTGTAAGGTATATATTTTTTTAATTTTTTTTTATATCAGACGAGCATTGCATTTTAATAATTTTATCGATAATATACACGAAAAATAAAATACAATATCTGCTTATACATCGTGTTAAAATACAATTAATTCTTGTCTAGTATAAAAAATATACCTTAAAATATGTCCCACAGAGTGAAACAATGAGCATTCAATATAGATTATTCTCAGAAATTATGTTTTCTTTAGCAAGACTTTGGATCTCTAGGTCACTAGCCATTAATTTCAGTGTTTACAAAATAGGAATGTCAACTCAAACATTTGTATCCACTAAATATAATATTTATAGCAATATTTCGCTGTATCACAGATCATCAGTGTGGCTAGACAACCGACTGCTTCAAGCCGGGATCGAAACTCGACTGATTCTAAAATCATTTCACCCTAAGTAACGCGGGAATGCCACTAGTATGCAGGGGTTCACAGAGAGTTAAGTTGAGAGAAAAGACTGGGTACAGGAAGTTGAGGAAAGGTTAAATGATGATCGCGGGTTCAAGACGACAGAAGATGGCAATTGACATTGCATTTAAACTTTTGAAGATTTTAGTTATCATGTAAGCAAGTAAACAGAAGTGAGTTTCCCTGTCGGGAAGCACTAGAAAGCCAACTGTTGGAATAGAAGTGGCGGTTACATTTAACTATTTCAACAACAAAAGGGTGGGATCTAGCACGCTTAAACTAATGTAGTCAGGGCAACGGGGGGGGGGGGCTCATCAGAAAATATTTGCAGAAAAGACTGAGGGAAGGCACATCAAATCTGTGAGAAAGTGACTAAAGTCGAAATGCCAAGTAATGATCGATTGCTGTGTAGATCCCTTTTTGGATTTTATCAAGAACCTCGAGATGAATATAAGGAGCACCATACCAAATATGTCAACAGTATTCAATGCATGGAGAAATGGTAGATTTGTAATTGTGCAAGATGGATTCTGAACCTTCTGGCACGACACAATGAATTAACTTTCCTTGCAGTAGATGCAGCTATTGATACAATGTAGTTGTTCCGCTTCAAGTCATTTGAAAACGTGAGACCAAGAAGGCACAGTGAGACGCTTTCCAAGAGTCGAGAATCAGCCATACTGAAGTGGTTAAATGAGAGCAGTTTAGTTTTGGAAGCATTAAAATTTACAAGCTATTTCCCGCCCCCGTTAACAACTGATTTGAGGTTCTTTTCAAGAGCAGCGGTCAGGTTAACTTTTCTGCTCTGACGGATTTGCTATTGAGACAGGAGTAAATGGTAGTGTCATCTATATAAATGCCTACTTGGGAACTGATGACAGAAAGCTCATTGACGAAGATAAGAAACACCGTAGGACCCAGAATAAAGCCTTGGGAGGCACCCGCGTTTGCGTGAAAGGAGCGAGCCCGTTCAGAAGGATTTTTATTTCACGATTTTATCGGAATGATTGGATTAAATCAAAAAATCGTCCTCTAATACCGTAGCCCAGAATTGTACGTAGAAGACCAGCATGCCAAACCCTGTTAAACGCCTTTGAGATATCTAGAGTCAAAGCTCGTTTCGCCGTACCAAGAGCTTGATATATATATATATATATATATATATATATATATATCCAGTGATAGCCATAAGAACATCAGCGGTAGGCCAGGTAAAAAGGAATCTATATGTTTTGTCAGAGAGTAGGTCGTGAGAGGTAAGATGCTTAACCACTTCAGCATCGATTAAAGCCTCGAATACTTTACCGAGAAGCGGTAGGGGACTAATAGGGCGATAATTAGGGAGGTCAGAAGGTTTTCAGAGTTCTTTAAAACAGGAACTACAAGTAGGAAGCATCGAGGCAATAGCTGTAGAGTTTTGAGAAAAGCGGATCCAGCTCGGGAGCACATTCCTTTAGGTCGACGATTGCGCTTATGGGAGTCTAATTTAGAAATAATGTCCGAGACCAGTAACGGGGTTATGCGGGTATCACTCAGTAGAGCTTCTGTTTTAGCGGGTGGGAATAACGTGTTGATTTGGACTAGAATTTCTGAATGCTTCAACCTTACCTCTTGTAGATGTCAGGGCTTCGAATTGATTGAATAGAGGAGGGATTGATGATTTGCTGTTCATCACACCCTTTCAGAGTCGCCAATAATCTGCAGAACGCGAACTTGCGAGATACGCAGTTTCAATTTATCAGCAAACAGTAACTACGCTTCATTGAGGACACGCTTGCACTCATTACGAGCAGAAGCAGACGTCTGTTGCTATAGCACAGCGGGAAGAAGTGATTCCTGTGGGCTATAGCAGGTGAGATGAACATAGTTTAACTTGGTATTACCTTGCTGGAATGAAAGGAAGAGACCCCACGCGCGCATTTTTTGAACAGGATGATTGAAAACTTAATTCCAAGGGACGTCAGGAAGGAAATCACGAAACGAGTCCCAATCTACTCGTTGGTAACAGAAAGATATTCTGTTGGTAGGAGGTTCTTGGCTGTTTGGGGAGCGGACGGAGATGCTTACCGACACTACTGCATGATCAAAGTTGCCAAGAAAACAGAGCTGCGTAGAACGACAAGAGTCAGGGATAGAGGTACAAAAGAGATCGGGAAGAGAAGCGTATCCGTCAGGGTTACGGGCGAAACGCGTGTTGAAGTCAACTACTTTTGTGAGAGATCGAGTGATTGAGAATTTAAGGGTTTGGTTGCCATCGAGGCCAGTGACAGAGTGTATAAGCCACCTGGTATTGTGGTCATTAAAGTCACCGAACACGCAACAGTCTTGAGAGGAAGGAGAACGGTAGAGAAAGAAGAGATAGCTTAGTTAAGTAGAGAGAGACGGAGACACATGTAAGAATAATCTGGAGATTCAAGAGATTTCTCTAGCCAGCGGGAGATGTTCACAGGTCATGCATGTGGACATTAGAATCCTTTCTAAGGAGAGGAAGGTAGTCAGGAATCGAGAAATATGTGTGTGGGTTTATGAGTATGTCTGTAGTGTCTGTGTGCATGTTTAAGAGTCGTTAGGTGTATGCTGACTGTCCAAAAAAGGCACAATATTGTATATAAGGAAAGTAAAAAATATTTTGTGCTTAATAATAGCAATCGTAGGTCGACCGCAGTCGAGATTATAGTGATTGTGAACACATGGCTGCATCATATGTTTTATGTCATGGCTACATACAGTTTTGAATTCAGGACTGTCCTTGAATTAGACTGGTTGCCAATCACTGGTGATTGCTTTTTAACCCATAGCTGGGGAGAAAAGAGATAGGATGAAAGCCCAAAGGCTTTTGCGGGAATTAGAACTCGGCTCGCCGACCCCATGATAAGCGCAAAGGATATGCAGCGTCGAAGCAGGAGTGTTTAAAAATTGTTCACTTTTCGAAATTGGCTAGAATTCGACTTCGTCTCGTCGGTTTATCGTCCCAAGCCGTAACCATTAAACCATCTGTACATCATACATATCTTGGGCTGTTAATGTTCAGATCCATTGACAGTCAGTCATGTGACATGCATCATACACGCTTAGGCGATCATCTTGACATGACTCGATACAGGCTGACGAGGCATATTTTTTTCTCGCAGTAGGTTGCCATTTCTTTCTGCGGAAGACCAGTTGCCATCCAACTTCCTAGTCTGTCTTGCTACATCCCTTGCAGCTCTCAACAAGTTCCTTTCCTCTGCTTCCTCCCCCAGACCACATTCTGTCGTCCACTTTCTTAAACCCACCCGATTTGTTTTCTAATGTCTGTCTTTCCTTCTATTCGACCCGTGAGTATCAGATTCTCCAGGCCCTGCTTCAGAATTACCTGTCCCAGAAATTTCAGCTGCCTCTTCCTGATGTTAAGTATAAGCCTCCTCCTTGTTTGCAACCTCTCTAAGACCTCATCGTTGCTCACGCGCTCGGCCCATGATATCCTCAGTATCCTTCTGTAGAACCACATCTCTGTCGCCTTTTCTTCATCTCGAGGAAATCGTCCAAAACTCGCTGCCGTAAAGAAGGAGAGATGTAACGTAACAGTTCGGTATTCTTTGTTACCAAAGAAGTCCTCCTGTCTTGTAATACTCTGATCAGCTTTTGGAAAACGTCCTTGGCCATCCCAATATTTCTATGGATATCAGTATCGCACTTACTGTCCTTTTTGGGCACATCCTCTTACTGACTGTTCGGTCATAAATGCGAAATATTT